ATAGACTTCCCAGCCGTATCCTTGGCTCCAAGTCGCCACTTGAAATTCTCAAGAATCGAAAAATTGATCTTTCTCATCTACGAGTGTTTGGGTGCTTATGTTTTGTTCACGTTCAAGCTACTCAACGAGATAAATTTGATCCTCGAGCTGCAAGAAGTGTTTTCCTTGGATATTCTTCAACACAAAAAGGATATAAATGTTATGATCCTAAAGCAAGGAAAATGGTTATTTCTCGTGATGTTCACTTTGTTGAAACAGAAGCTTTCTTTAAGGAGAAATCAGGGGCTGAGTTTCAGAGGGAGAGTCCATTTGATCAAGTTCCTTTACCAATTATTGACACAATTGAAGGATTTTATCCATCAAATACGGATGGAGATGGTGTTGATTTCAGAAATTCTATCTCACATAATGTGGTTGGAGACAATGATATTTCACCTCAAAATGAGGAACAAGATGATCCTCACAATATGGTACAAGATGTGAACGAGTGTGAGGCAACTCCTCCTGCCCCACGACGCAATCCAATGCGTGTTAGGCAACCTCCCACAAGACTTCAGGACTTTGTCATCTACAAACCCACACATCCCATCTCCAATTGTGTGTCGTACAAGAGAGTGACACCAGCCCATGCCGCATTCCTCAGCACCATATCAAGTTACAGTGAGCCTCATAATTTCCATGAGGCCAACAGCCAAGAGATATGGAAGAAAGCCATGCAAGAAGAACTTAAAGCTCTAGATCAACACAACACGTGGAGCATCACCAAACTTCCAAAAGGCAAGAAAGTTGTGGGTTGCAAATGGATTTATAAACTCAAATTCAAGTCAGATGGATCAATTGAGAGGCATAAAGCAAGATTGGTGGCTCGAGGATTCACTCAAACATTCGATGTGGATTACAAAGAAACTTTTGCACCTGTTGCCAAAATGAATACAGTGAGAGTTCTACTGTCCGTGGCTGTAAACAAAGGGTGGTCCATGTACCAAATGGACGTGAAGAATGCATTCTTGCACGGTGATCTCAAAGAAGAAGTCTATATGAAATTGCCACCCGGGCATCCTCAAAGCAATGAACCAGATTTAGTGTGCAAATTGCACAAATCCATTTATGGCTTGAAACAGTCCCCACGAGCTTGGTATGCCAAGCTAAGCTCAGTTCTCACTAGTGTTGGTTTCAAAAGCAGCAATGCCGATTCCTCACTTTTTGTTCGCACAGGAGCTGTGGGCAAATTGGTTGTGCTGATCTATGTAGATGATCTGATAATTACAGGTGATAATGCTGACGAGATCTTCAACCTCAAACAGTCTCTCAGTCAAAGGTTTGCAATTAAAGACCTTGGGATATTAAAGTACTTTCTTGGTATAGAAATGGCAACCTCGCACAGGGGACTATTTCTTAACCAAAGGAAATACGTCCTGGATTTGCTCAAGGAAGCTAACATGAGCGATGCTAAACCGGCCATTACCCCTCTTGACAGTAAGCTCAAACCTAGTTTGGAGGGCACACCACTCACTGATATAAGCTATTATCAGCGACTGGTTGGTAAGTTGATATACCTAACAATCACCAGACCCGACATCACATATTCTGTAAGTATTGTGAGCCAATTCATGCACTCTCCGACATTTGAGCATTTGACCCTTGTTAAAAGGATCTTACGCTATTTAAAAGGATTAGTGGGTCGTGGTATCATCATGAAGAAGAATGACAACACACAAATCATGGGGTATTGCGATGCTGATTGGGCAGGGAACGCAATCGATCGTAAGTCCACCACTGGCTACTGTACATTTGTCGGTGGAAACTTGGTCACATGGAAGAGTAAGAAGCAAACTGTTATCGCCAGATCAAGTGCCGAAGCTGAGTATCGTGCAATGGCTTCAACTGCGTGTGAATTGATATGGCTCAAGGGTCTTCTGTGTGATTTAGGTGTTCCTACAACTCTTCCTATGTCCTTGTTTTGTGACAATCAGGCAGCCATGCATATAGCATCAAACCCCGTGTTTCACGAGAGGACAAAGCACATTGAAGTTGACTGTCATTACGTTCGAGAACAAGTTCAGTCGCAAGTGATTCAGACACATTATACAAGAAGCTTTGACCAACTGGCCGACATCTTCACCAAGCCCTTGGCTTCTCATCAATTTCAATGACTTCTGTCCAAGCTTGGATCCATAAACCTTCTGGATCCAGCTTGAGGGGGAGTATTGGAAGCTGTCCAGTGGTTGTCCAGTGGTTATCAGGATTTCCTGAATATTAGGATGGTTTACGGTAACACTAGACAATAAGGGGACAGGTGGGGTATTGATATTGTGTTGTCTACTCCTTAATTCAAGGAGCTGTTATTTGTATTCCCTAAGCCACAAGTTGTGGCGTAAATCAAGGAGTCAACCTCCTTATATATTGCTGAACATCTGTAATGAACTCATGATAGAATATACAAACATTCATTGAAAAATTCAACAATTTTTTATCCCGATCTTTTAGTTAATCAGTCTGTTAATAAGTCCTATTCTTTAGGGACTAGTTGTTTGTGTTTTTGACGAATTCCTCTTAGTGTGTTGCAAACGTGGGCTGTTATTTTGATTTTATCTCTTTGTAAAAGGCTTTATAAGCCTGCAGTTTGTTATCAATGAATTAAGGACTTTTCATTAAAGCTTGTGTGTTATAGTTTCTTCTGAGTGTTCTCAACAGCACAAACAAAAGCAATCGCAGGTACTTGTTTGACACTGACAAAGCAAGATTCTCATATGTTCTTTGTTTTAGTAGTACGTAGTTTTTTTATTTTTTGGTGATGTGCCCAGGCATTCCTTTTGTGATGATTTGGTTCTAGGATCTCTAGTTTATACTTCTGTCTGGGTTTAAAGTTTGCAAAATTTACATTGTCTGAATTTTCCTTTTTTGCTTTTTCCTGATTGGTATGTGTACTAGCTGACTAACCCTCTCTTTTCTTTCAGAAAGAGTATCAAGCTGGGAGAACATTGTTTTGGCTTATGAATCAGTTTGGGCAATTGGAACTGGGAAGGTTGCAAGCCCTGCTCAGACTCAGGAAGTAAGTGTGGGATGGGTGAAGCATTGTTATGTCTTATATATGGTTTCTTGTTTCAATGAAAGTTATCCTTGTTTGTCCTTGCGAGTAAGCTGTAGCCTGGGTCTTGTGCAGTTATTTTTTTTTCTGAATAGTTACGACTTTTAGGAAAGTGAATTCGAACTTGGGACTTCCTCTTTAGAAGAGATGTGTGACTCTTATGCTTAAATTTGAAATTTATGGTAAAGGTATATGCATAGAGCAATCTTACAATAGAGAAAGTTACTGCTATAACATTGTCTCCTTTACTAAGCTCGGTTAAATAGTTATTTCATGCGCCTTGCATTCTTCTATAAGGTGATAAATGGTCTTTTTTCTTTCTGTCTTGTCTCAGTTACCTGTCTGGTTTCCCTTCAACTTCGATCACTGATTCTTTTATGCTCATTTTTCTTTGATTAGCCGGAGTTCATCCACATTATCAAGTCAGCTACAGTAGTGAAGAAGAATGTCGGCCGAGCTATGAGAAGTGCTCGGAATAGTCATCGCCGAAACGCAGATGACATTCAACGATTGATGTAGTAGAAACTGCACTTGCATATTAATAGTTGACAGTCACCCGCGCCTTCGTGGGCAACTATACCTAGCATATTTCATCATTTAGATGAAGCTAGATTGTTGAGCCATATAATGTAATAATATACTGTTGCCAGTATGCCACCCAAAAGAAAATTAAAAAAATATAGGCTGCCATACAAAATATTAATATTAAAGGGTCTGATGCTCGACAATCAAACCCTACTCTCATCATTTTCAAGATCATCTTTGACCCACATAATATTCCTTCTGAGGGTGAGCTTTCATATTTTGGGTTAGATAAAACTTTTTATGACTCTTCTTTTATGCCTTTTGTAACATCTCACATCGACCAACAGAGAGAGGGTGATGTGCCTTTTACTCCAAAGTAATTAAAATATAGTGGCTCAAAGTTGGAAGGAAACCGTGCAATAAAGGAAAATTCCAATTAAATGTCAATTATGGTGCTAGGAAAGAAGAAAGGCATATTATTGGGATTTTCTAATTGATTGAGGAAGTTTGAAGCAATTATTAGTCTGTCAAGATTTGTATTTAATTTAATGTTTTATTTTATATTTTGAAGAATAAGTTATTTATTAGGATATTATTTTCCTAATATGATTTTAGCTATGATTTTTATTATTTTCTTGTTAGCTAAGTTTATGAATATTTTAGAACCTAGGGTTTCCTACTGTTTTAGGGTTTCTTTATTTTTTATTTAAGGCAACTCATGGTGTTGTATTTAGTAGTTTATCATCTTATTTTCAATCAATATTTTTGACATTTACTCAATTTCTCTGGTGGATTCCAGTTTGTTGGTGGATTCCGATATTGTTACTTGTAGGGTTGTCGTTCAATCTCCCTATCCCTTATATATGGCTGCGTGAGTCAAGACTGAGCCTTTTTGTTAAATCTTTAATAGTTTTCAATAAATAAACACAATATAATATAAGTTACAAAAGTAGAGAATGCACACATGATTAGGTAGACCAATGTGCTATATGTAGGTCCAATCACACTGTCGAGTTTGTAGGTGTTTCTGTTAGGTTTAAATCTTCTGTTTAAATAATCCTATTGACTAGGGAGTAGTTGTTTGTTTTGACTCTTTTCTTTGTTGATAACCACGTTTCTGTTAGAGTAAACGTGGGCTGTAATCTTTGCTTTTATTTAAGAAGTTGTAAGGCTATATAATAGCCAGAGTTTGCTGAATTCAATAACAAGTCATTCTCCCAGATTAAGTGTACTGTTTCGTTTAAGTTCTTTGTGTCACAACACACACTGGCCCAATTATCAAACAAAGCAGAGAACAAATCACTAAGCAGAGAAGACTACAATTACTCATTTTAAGCCCAAAAAAATTGTCGACAATTGCACTTGGATTGGAAATAATGAGTGTAGTTCAATTAGGAAGTGGTGTAGGCCAACGTTTGAGAGAAAGCGGGAAGGCATTTGCCTTTGCCCAAGGATGGAACTCACTATCTGTTCTCTGTCTCGTGAACGAAGTTCTTGTACGAAAGTTGCATGCTACAATATCTTCATCCAAATATAAATACAAAATATCCTCGTCGTTTGGGTCAAAAGCCCGCACACTAGCTAACCACCACCATCCTGCCTCTGCCCGCCATTTAGCAATGTCTGGATTTTCCGCAACCATTTCGTCCAGGACAAGCTTTTTTATCAAACACCATTTCATCAATCTGCCTGCAATTCCATCCGCCTTCTGATCATCTTCTTCAACTTCTTTCAACTCCCAAACACACACAATGCCTCTTTTGAAGGGATCCTCCATATCGTAATGGCACATCCGCAGACGCCCCTGGCACACACCTAGGCACTGAACATATTCAATGTTGTATTCGGGCTTATGGAATTGAACGAAACGACATGATTCGTTGTTGACGACAATGTCACCAGTGGTATTAGCACCGGTTGAAATACTGCTGTTTATGTTGTTGAACGGATCCACCCCAATAAGAAGGCCGTCAGAAGACAACCAGTACAACATTCCATTGTAAGCAACGCCTGGAGTACAAGCATAAGGAATAAAACTAAATCCTCGGGAGCTCGATATAACTGACTCTCTCCATTCACCAGTCTCAGAAGAGTAGATTTCCACTGTGAACTCCAAGTAATTCTCTTGAAAGCAATTCTCTTGAACTGCAGTAATTCGCACGACCCTGTACCTATACTCAGCATTAAGCTTGATGTTATTAGAACTTGTTCGATTACCGACGAGTTCCTCATGGTTGTAGTAGGGATGGTCGCACATGAATCCCCTTATTACTGGTCCACTATGAACTTGAGGAGTGGGAGGAAGAGCAATCCATTGCCTGGTGTATGGATTGCAGATGTAGTAATCTTCTTCCCAAGTGGTTGAGCACAAGATTAAGTCATTATATGTCCCTAAAATGCGTGGCTTTGGTAGTGTGGTCTGATCAAAACAAGGAAGGAAACTGAGAGATAAATTGCGTGATTTGCACTTGGCCGGAAGTGCAGCCATGACAAAATAATCCCAAATCAAATACCGTCCATGTATCAGATTATTGAAATAGAATAATATCGCATCCATATCAGCGTCTCTTTGAACCAATACATCATCAGTTGTGCATTTTTGCAGAGATACAAAGCGGAGGACAAAATAAGGATCTGAGATTAGAGCAAACCAACGTCTGGACACACACTTGCACTGAAAAACGATTTTACTGCTAGGAAGTCGACAAAGGATTTCAACCAACAGATGCTGAGGAAGATCATCAATATTCATCTTTAGTTTACTATTCCTTCCTTTGGTTGCAGATTCGTGATCGCAGTGGAAACGTGTTGGAGACAAAAAAAAAAATTTCAAGACTTAGAGCTCGTTTGGGATTCGGAGTGATTCAAAGGAGAGTAAGTCAAGACTTAAATAGTAGAATCCGATAGGAAATTAGAAAGGGAAACAAAAAATTTGAACAGGAAACTACTTATTAGGTCACAATGAATATAGCGAAATACAGTTGTTTGCTTGTGATCCACGGCTTTGACTTTTAAACCCCAAAAAAAGCAAGGTTTGACTAAATAGACCATGAATCCCAACCCAAGAAAACATATAATGGGCTGGCCCGTATTGTACAAAATCAGAATACTATGGCCCGGGCTGATACTGGATAGGCTCAACCCGACCCGATTCATGAGTGCACGATGGATCTTCTTGTACGGGCACAGGCACACTCTAGAACAGTAGAACTACAAATATAAAAAATAAAATAAAAGGCAAGAGCCTTGATTTTCAATTTGAGCTGTGAATCAAGTAAAAGAGAAGATGGGCAGAAAATTCTTCGTCGGTGGCAACTGGAAATGCGTATGTCTCTGTTATTTTATGATTCCTACAACGTTAATTTGTTTTGGTGGATTTTGATCGATGTCGCGTTTGTAAAGATATTTCAATTCATATTTGATTAGTGACCGCAGACCAGCCCATTAGTATTGGAAATTCCCAGTACTGAGTTTGTGTGAATTGTCTGAAAAACAGTGGCTTTGGAGTTGATGAGTATCAGATTAAGTTGTGATTTTTGGGTTTCTTTTGTTGCAGAATGGAACGACTGCAGAGGTGAAGAAGATTGTTACCACATTGAATGAAGCTGAAGTCCCTTCAGAAGATATTGTGGGTAAGCATTTAGACTACAGTTTTTGCTCAACTTGTTGTTTTAGTCATTACAGTTCTTCACATGAAGTAATTGGTACTTTCTTAACAAGGGGTAGCTTTTTTGTTTTTTAATTTTTGTAAAGCTCAAATTTTTGTGCAAATGTTTCAATGTTTGATTTAGTTGTGCTTTCCTTTTACTGCAGAGGTTGTTGTGAGCCCTCCATTTGTGTTTCTTGCTTTTGTGAAGAGTTTGTTGCGATCTGATTTCCATGTTGCGGCACAGAATTGTTGGGTTCGCAGAGGTGGTGCTTTTACCGGAGAGGTTAGGTATGTTTGTATCTAATTATCAACAATCCTGTCTATTGTTAAACTGCTAGGCATGAAGTTTAGAGAACAAGTAGTTGTTCACAAAATGACCAATTTCTTGTTTGCTCAGTGCGGAGATGCTGGTGAATTTGGGCATTCCATGGGTCATTCTCGGTCATTCTGAAAGAAGACTTATTCTAAATGAGTCCAATGGGGTAACAAGCGATCCAGTTTGATCTTTATTTCTTCACTTTCTATGGTTGACTACATCTTGACACAATCAATTATTGTTCTTGTGGTTCTCTTTGTCCATGCAGTTTGTCAGTGACAAGGTTGCTTATGCACTTTCTCAAGGCTTAAAAGTTATTGCTTGTGTTGGGGAGACTCTTGAGCAACGAGAATCAGGATCGACAGTGGCTGTTGTTGCTGCACAAACAAAAGCAATCGCAGGTACTTCTTTGCCGCTGACAAAGCAAGATTCTAATGTTCATTATTTGGTACCCTATGTTCTTCGTTTTAGTATATTTTATTTTTTGTTTCTATTTTTGGGGTGTGCCAAGGCATTCCTATTGTACTGATTTGGTTCTAGGATCTCTAGTTTATATTTCTGTCTGGTTTTAAAGTTTGCAGGATTTACATTGTCTGAGTTTTCCTTTTTCATTTTGTCCTGATTGGTATGTGTACCAGCTGACTAGCCCTTTCTTTTCTTTCAGAAAAAGTATCAAGCTGGGAGAACATCGTTTTGGCATATGAACCAGTTTGGGCAATTGGGACTGGGAAGGTTGCAAGCCCTGCTCAGGCTCAGGAAGTAAGTGTGGGATGGGTGAAGCATTGTTATATCTTATTCTTATAAGTTAAATGTTTTATTGTTTCAATGAAAGTTATCTTTTGTTTGATCAGGTAATGTAAATGTAGTGGGGAACATTTTCATGACTTCTTTTACAGTTGCTCACTTTCTCATTGTGATGTCTATGATAGTAGAGCTTAATTTGTATATTGTCTTCTCTGTACTTTTCAATATTTTTTATTGGGGAACGAATGAATAATGGAAAATTTTCTACTGGGGAACAAATGAACATTTTACATTATGAGTTTACTCATGTGTGATGCCATTTGTAACCTTTCTCCTCTACTCAGCTCAGAGAAACAGTTATGTTTCATGCGTGTGGCCTTCTTCTATATTTCATTAAGTTTTTGTATGAACAGTCTCATTTCCCATAAGTAGTTGTTAGTTTCCTTGTTACTATGTCAAGTTTGTTAAAGAGGTTTTATTAACAGGTCCATTTTGAGTTGAGAAAATGGCTTTATGACAATGTTGGTGCTGAAGTCGCTGCATCAACCAGAATTATTTATGGAGGTACACTTCAACTTTTAGTCATGAATACCATATGTGTCCTATTTTTCTTTGATTTGGACAGAGCATAAATTTACGGACTAATCATCAAACAAAGCAAGTTATGTGCAAGTGTTAAGCCTTCATGACTTATCTTGTTATGAGTGAGAAACATAGCATGCATGTGGGGGTGGGGGTGGTTTGCTATTGCAGAGGCTTCTGCCAGTAGTCTGGTTGTCTAAGTTGAGTCACCCGATTAGTTGGAATCTGAAATATATTGGTCTCCAAAAAAACAAAATATTTAATCCAAGCTCAAACCAGAACCAACCTTTTGTTTGTTGAGTTGCATCAATTGGTCTGAGATTCACTAAAGATGCACCCTTTCCGATTCCGAGCTGAGTGCTTATACTTCATTCCTTAGTTCTACATGAATATGGAATACGGAACATAATCCAGTTCCAAAATGAACATTATAATACCAATCATAGAGAGGAGAGAATCATCTTACATGATACCCTGGTTGTGTAAACTTACGTTTTAATCACATGTAATCACCTTTAGGTTCTGTAAATGGAGCCAACTGCAAGGAATTGGCAACACAGCCAGATGTGGATGGATTTTTGGTTGGCGGAGCTTCCCTTAAGGTGATAAATGAATATTCTTCTTTCTGGCTTGTCTCAGTTATCTGTCTGGTTTCTCTTCAACTTCGGTCACTGATTCTTTTATGCTCATTTTCTTTGATTAGCCGGAGTTCATTGACATTATCAAGTCAGCTACCGTGAAGAAGAATGATTGAGGTCAGAGAATGTCCATCTAGCTTGTTGCCAAACTTGAGTTATAAACTTCTGTTGTTAATACTTGTCAAAAAAGACTTGTACGGTATTATTACTTGCCAAAAAAAACCTTGTAGTTGTGTTGCCCAGCACATTCTCGATGTAATAAGTAAGAATTCCTTGGTACTGAGTTTACTTTCAATTAAGTGGAAATATGATTGTGAATTTGATAAGTCAAGTGGGGTTTCTCTTTTTTTCTCTTTTTTCTCCTTCTGATAAGTCAAGTGGTTGTTTTGTTCCTGGCTGAGGTCTAAAGAGAGTCATATTTGATATAAATTTTAAATTCAATTCTTTCTTGTTTCTCCCTCTTTTCTTTTTCTCCTTTTTCTTCAAATCTTTAACCACTTTCGTCTCTCGTTTATTTTTATTTTTTTTTAAATTAATATTTTTGCACGCTCAATTAGTGTGTGCTGAAAGTGTGGAAGGCACTCTTTTCCAACTTTTTTGTCAGAAATTAAAAAACCCTTGTCTTCTACCTCATCGGCATGGTTGGCCACTCCATGGGGCGTGGCTATTTCAGCAGAGGTATGGGAGGCATTCTACGACATCATCTATGTCATGCACATCGCATCCAAACACCCTTCTCTCTGTTTGTCATTTTTGGGTTGGAAATTGCAAGTGGCAAATGGAGTTGTTCTGTTACTGCTATTCGAAGTCTAGTACCGGAGAAATCTCATCAGATGCTTCTTCGAGCTATGAGAAGCGCTTGGAATGGTCGCCCGAGCATGGATGACGTTCAACGGTTGATGTAATGAAATCCGCACTGGCATCAACAGCTGAAAGTCATTCACGCTGAAGAGTTTGTGTGCAACTATACCTAGCATATTTCTTGATTTGTATATAGCTTGTTGAGACGTATATGCATATAAATATACTGTTGCCAGTATGCCACCCAAAAGAAAACTAAAAAAATTTAGGCTGCCATACAAAGTATTAAAGTAAGGGTCTGATGCTCGACAATCATACTCTACTTTCATTTTCAAAATTATCTTTTACCAACACAATATTCCTTCTACATTTCCAGGTGAGCTTTCCTTTCCTTCAACTTTTTATGACTTCTTCTTCTATGCCTTTTTATATAAAATAAAAAATAAAATAAAAAAATCCCCTTTCCAGATTGAAGTCTAGTCTAGAGTCTATACTGAACTCTTTTTTAAAAAAATAAATAAATAAATAATAGTTTTCAATAAATAAACACAATATAATTACACTGGACCAACATGCTATATGTTGGTCCAATCACACTGGACCAATTATCAAACAAAGTAGGCGTATTAACATTTTTCTCACAACCAATGAACCATAATTTTTCAGCAAAATGCACTTAAATTAAATTGATTAAAAGTTTATTTGATTCAATTCAATCCCTGTGCTTCATGTCAATGCCATTGACCTAATGGTGCATTATGTGGGTTGACCTGTGGTCATTTCTTCTATGATAATTCATTTATAGATAAGATCGACCAGTACACCGTTTACTACGCTCTCAAAAAGATTCGTTTCAAGCAAAACTATCAGAGGTCGTGGGTCAAGGCTGGTTGCATGAATAATGACTTTTGCAACACTGCAAAATAGTTCAAAATAGCATGAGTTGTGATAGCGACAGTCGTCTACGAATATAATGCAATACCGTTTAATACTCTCATTAATTGCATTACACATCAAACGTG